TATTATTTTTCATGGCTGTACATATCTATTTTAGTTAATTCTAGACATTTTCTGAAAAATTGTCCGATTCCCTATTACATCTATTTGCCTAAGTTTTGTTGAAGTTGGTTACCGGAAAGTGCGCGAAATCGGATTTATGCACTAGTCTGTCTTTTTTGAAGATGGAGTAAAATGACAGTTCATTACGCAAAAGTGTTATCGCGCTTGCAAGCAGCTAGTGATTGCAGTCGATAAATGTTACATCGACTATTGACTGAATGCTGATTATATTTATGAATATATAGCCTACCTTGTTTCATCTGAATCATTGTCGGCTCATTATTCGTCCAACTGCTGGGCACAGGTTCATTTGAATTGAGAATTAAAAAAAATCATACATACCATACATACAAATCACTCAGCCGGAAGACGTCCACTGCTGAACATAACCCCCCCCAAATATTTCCAGACCAGCCGATCGGATGCGACGTACCTATTAATCAGTTCTTGAAAATATGGAGTTGATTTTTGATGATGTATTTATCTGTATTGTTACTATTGTCTAATCATTAGAACGTATCCCTTCAGGTTTCGGCGTGTACTTCGAGTGGAGCAAGTCTCCAACGACGGAAGTGACAATTCATGTGTCAGACAGTGACGAAGAGGATGATATTGAAGAAGAAAGCTTTCCTGATGATGGTAAGTTATTTGTTCTGCGTCTGCTTGATTGGCAACTTGCGTTTTCATATTTTACAAACATTTAAATGAAATGTCTTTCTAATCGATTGCAGTAACATTGTGAAATTTTTTTTGGCTAATTTTCAGGTTAGTGTTCTCTACCTAATTTCGGTGGCAAGTTTATTATCTAAGTATTCTAGAATATTATCGTGAAGTATTATTTAATATTCGAGCTTAGTATCCTGTAATCAGCGAGTATATAACCAGAAATAAAGACGAAATAAGGGCCATATATTCCAGGTAACACATTAGGGATACAGCTCTTATAAATATCAACTCTCGTTTGCATCGAAATATAGACAGGCCATCTACTGACCTGTGATGATAAATGATGTTTCGTCTCTATTTCCGGTTATATACTCGATGCCTGAAATATTATTTAATATTTTACGGCAACATAAAAATAAAAAATAAAAAAATAAAAGGGACTTTATTCTTCAACACAGGAAACAATACATAAACACTTAAAATAATAACTTAAAAGGTCTGTAATGAAGAAAAGGTTATAGCCTCAGCAAGATGCTGGTTTTCAGGCTTTACCTGGTGATAAAAAATTTTGACGTAGAAATTTAAATAAATTAGTTGCTGCAGACACCGCAGTATGCAATTTATAATTAAATATATATTTCAGAAGGCACCTCTGAAATATATATTTAAGCACATACTAGAATACTTGTTGCCACCGGAATTAAAACACTAACCAGAAAATAACACTATTATGTCTAAAGAAAGTAAGACGTGAAAAGGGGACCACTTTGAAGTAATGGTCACCCTTTCTTGATTGTGGTACTAAAAGGAGGATCTCAACTATTCTCAACTGACCACTCGTTACCCTTACATACTTGGAGGGACGTTAGTCACGATATAAGTTCGGAAAACTATGCAACTAAATTAACATCAAATCAAATATTTGCAGAGGTGATAGGCGCGGATGGTGTACTCCGATCCGACCTGGAGCAGGGCAGTGAAAAACGCACGCTCACTGGGCATAAGCCGCCTGTCAGTCTTGTCGTGCCGATCTACCGCCGCGACTGCCACACTGAGGTACTGTTATATGGAAAACGCCCTATGTGAACTCCTCAGTACTTATCAATACCACTAGATGGCGCCACTAATACTTAATGCACAATACAATACAATTTATTACATGTTTTTTCTTAAATTCGGAATTTTTTAATTTTTAATTTTCACTAAAAAAATACAGATGTTGAGAAAAAAATTACAGAATTTACTGAAATAATTATAAAAAAATATAAAATTTATAAATATGTATACTAAATACATTGACTTACAATTATATGGACGTCGGGTCCGCGCTAAAAAGTGTCCGAACTTACAGGGCGTTAAAATCGTATACAGAGCGTCATTCACGCTTTAGTCTTCGTTTGTTTCTACTGACAGCGAAGCAAGCAAAATTAGACAGTACTGCGATGACATTACAATTTAAATTCAACATTTTAGCTTTTTCATATTCGTTTAAATAGGTTGACTTGGGACATTTTTTTCGTGGTTTTTGTATTAGACCCGTCGTCCATTTATTTGTAAGTCAATGACTAAATAATAAAAATTATAAAAAATGTAGAACATATTTTTCAAAATAAAAGATGATCTGATAACTCAACTGCCTCCGTGGTCGAACGGTTACCATGCCGGACTGCCACGCAGAGGTCCCAGGTTTGATTCCCGGGCCGGGAGAAATATTTGTATGGCCTACATTTATTTCTCTCGTGAGTTTGGGTGTAATTTGTGGTTGTCTATGTGTGTCCATGGCATCCGCGACACAGGGTTTCCCTAGTGCGGGGCTATGTTAAGTGTGTACGTTATTATTATTATAAATATGTGTTTACGAAATGTATGTTATCTTATAGTCAGATATAATTTGTTATGTAGTTCTTAAACAATTGATATCCAACTGCATGGTTGACCCCAGGTACAGTATATAAATATGTATTGGTTGTATTTCAGGTATATGCTGGATCACACACGTACCCCGGCGAAGGTGTCTATTTACTTAAATTTGACAACACGTACAGTCTATGGCGTTCCAAGACATTATACTACAAGGTTTACTACACCCAGTAAAAAAGGATAAAATATAGTTATTTACTATTAATAACCATGACATTTAATACTGAAATTGCTATATTTATCAGGCACGCACAAAGGGCATTTTTCATTTCACGCGGATTTTGGTGGTAACCAAACAAAAAGGTTGTATGGTACCATGGCAAACAGGATATATCTTGATAGGAAAAATGTGAAAACTAAAAAAAGGGTTTACAATCAAATGATGTATAGTGCGCTACATATAGTAGAGCTTACGCCCTCGTTGCCAAACGCATCTTGCGTCTATATAGCACATGTTACATCTCTATTAGATTCGCGTGCCAATTAAAACCCGCGTGACAGAAAACAGGCTCTAGTACAATGCTTGAGCGTTTTGGAGTTAAATTTGGACCCTTGTAATGTTGCGTATTTTTGATGTCTTCATTGTGTCAGAACTCTGTACTAGTGCCTTCATTTCAGGGTCTAAAAATAACTTTTTTGGGCTGAACGACGAATTATTGTCATCTGTCTGTCATGCGACATTACAGTATTTTCTAAAGTCCAAGCTTCGAATTACCTTAATATGTAATAAAACGGGTGACTTTAAATCGATAAGAGGTTCCGCTATAACGTTACTTCAAAGGACGATGACCGATACAATATGGAGGCATGCCCTAATCTTAATCTGGCGTGTCCATAAGCTACACATGGCGCATTATAAAGCACACAGGACCTAGATTATGAATTGGTTCCTCGGTTTTCATTTATTTAATAAAAAACTACTTTTTCTAACCTATGACTGTCAAATAAAAGTCAAAAGTTATTCCTTAAAAATAAGGTACATTACATCACAAACATCTGGCAACACTGAGCACTCAGCACAGTCTGTCACCTTGGAAATGAAACATAATTTTTTTTTCATTCAAAATAAACTGCATGATGAGTTCTAGACTATTCTCAAAAATGTAGTTTTAATTAATGCAGGATGATTAAAAATATAAATTTGCTGAACATGCTAAGCAAGATGAGGGAAGTAATGGCCATCATCGTTTAAACCATATTTTTAAACTTATTTTTTTTAAACTGTTGAGATACTTAAAAGTTTAATTGATAAGGTAAGTACGGCTAGGATGTTCGCATACTGGGAAGTACATGATCTCAACAAAAACATCCGATCAGTCACGCGTTCTAGAGACAAGGTGTCCTTAATTATTTAGAGGCACACTGTGTCTCTAGCGCGCAGCCGCCTTATTAACAACTTTTTTTTTTCTTTATTTATTAAAAAATGTATAAAAAAGAGCAAAATATTTAGAAACACAGTGTGACACACTGACATCTAGGGCTTGTGACGGAATATTAAATGTCACTGAGTAGTGACATCTTAACTGAATAATAAGTACCTAGGAACCAAAATAAATTCCTTGCTGCTGCCTAATCGTTGGAGTTCTCGATCAGTATTAACTGACAACATATTTATATCAAAGTTTAGTGGCCGCTATTATGGAAATAATAATAATAACTTTCAATTGCTCTACCGAATTTATGATATCAAATAATAATTATAATAAAATAGTAATACAATTTTCAAAATCCGTAGAACATCGAAGCCTGGATTTTAGTATAATTATTATACTGAGTAATAATTTAATATCATATTATATAAAGACTATTTGAAATACTGCATTTTACGGATAACTTATTTTTACATATGCAGGAACTGCACCTTCTAAGTCATTTCGGTAATATTATTAATTTATATTCAAAGTATTGTGAACGCAGACTTATGTTCCATATTTAAAATGAATTTTCCTTAGTGTACAGAAAAATTGTGACCCGTCGATGGTCGGCCAGGGGCCTGAATGTGCCAGAATAACCGCACGTCGTTTGTATTGTTGTGTAATACCTGTCGCTAACTTTAATCGTGGCAAATAAATTAGTTTTTATGAATTACTCTTATATACTAAAATCATATTACTATCAAAGTTTTCTTGTCCTTAAACAATTGCACCTTTAAACCAAGCTTTTCAAAGTTTTATGGATATTTATTTATAATAACGTTAATGGCATTTAGTTGTGATCAGAAAAATAAAACTGTAGTGTAGCCAATGTTTAATCGAAATTATTATGACCACAATTTTTTTTTGAAGTTATGGTCTCTAGAAATATTTGCGCCATCAGTCGACGCCATTTAGGCGAAAGGTCTTCTATTTGTCGAAATGTATAGATAGATATTCATACACGTTTTTCAATGTTTATTTTGTTTATGGGTATTATAATTATCATCATAGATATATCCATAAAGAACTTTATATGTGAACGCTATAAAGTCCAGTTAGGAAAAATAGTAGCAAAAATAAGTAGCACAGGCGCTACATAGCGCGGATGGTCATCATCGGCGTGATGTAACCAAATTAGATATTGTACCATTTAATACGGGAAATTAATATATTTTTTTAAACACCCGTAACTAATTTATTTAGAAACTATTTTATTTCTTATATTAAAAAAAGGCATATTATGCTATGAAATTTCGGTTTTAAAAAGAACCCTGTGACAACATTGGCCGCACCGTAATACTTATACCGCTATACGGCTGACTTTTTAATCACCAACCAATTTTTTTCTAGGATTGCATGTCATTAGAAGAAAAGTAAATCCAGTTCTGAAAAGAGTAATTGTAGGTTAAACTTGTACAATAAAATATTTTTTGACTTCATTTCAGTGAACGTCCGCGATTTGTTGTGATGTGTAGTGGTTTTAAGGGTGAAAGTTTTAATAGAATCCGGAGACTACACTACGATGCAGAAAATATTCCTCACACCCAAACCATTACTTGCTAGTCAAAGGCTATTAAGTCATGGCCAATTGGCGACACCTTCTTACGCTGAAGGTTGTAGTAAGCTGTGACTGCCAGTGGGGATCGAACAAATCTTTTTTTTTAACGAGCACTTACAGAGAGAGATGCGAGATGCACCATGACGCTTCGACGTAAGACAATATGCAGTATCAAATAATTCGATTAATAACGGGAATATTCTAGGAGAACTACACAAGCCTTGTTCAATTTAAGAATCCTAAGCCTATCAAAGTAATAAGGGCGCAGGTGCTGGCGATCCGGAATGTTTAGTCGTATGCACGTGTTTGTCAACTAACGTACACTTTTTTAGATAACTTAGTAGTGCATCTTAATATTTTTATTACTCTTCATCATAGATGTAAAATATTAAAATTTAGATGGTGATTATTTAGTATTTGGCACTATTAAACTGTTACGTACAAGATCTAAGCATATAGCCAAATATTGACCTAGTAACATACTATTGCAATATGAATAAGGTCGCGTTCTCATACGATATTTGATCTGCAAAAGAGGCGCGCGCATGGCGCGACTGTGACGCTGCTGCTGCGCTTCTAAATATTGTATGAAAATTAGTAGTTGCGCGGCTGCAGCGCCACTGCAGCGCTTCTATATACTTTTGACTGGACTTCATAGTCATAAGCCGTATGCGTCATCTGGTGAGCACAAAACTAGAGCCCCTTATTATATGTAGTGTTGAGTGCACTCAAAATTTCAGTGTGATAATTATTTTTCTGATCAACTATTTTTGTAACTGGTAGTCACTTACTACGTGCTAGTATTAGTAGCATTTACGTCTAGAGTAGTAATTACGTATGTGTTGTAGTATGAAATCATTTCATCAATGCGTATCGGCATCACACCCTTTTTAAATCAATATGCTATTAGTTAAAACTCGCCAAATCAAAAGAAATTAGTCCTTAACGCTCCGTATTATTAATAATGGTACGTACAGTCAACATCAAAATAATCTGACCAGTGAAATAAATAAAAAAATCTATACATCCAAAATGATTAACTAGGTATAGTTTCTGGGCATTTTACAAATTAAGACTTAGTCATAGAATTAAGGAACCTTTAAGTGTTTATATTATTGCTACAAAGATTGAACAGACAAACATCGAAGGAATTTTTCTTGAAAAGTGCTTTCATGAAAAATCAATGCGTATTGAGTTAATCGACATTAAATAAATTTTTATGTGCAGATGTTTTGTGTACTCTGAATGTATAGCTTAAATTTACCATTTATTGTATGTTAGGTGTTTTAGATTACTTTCACGGTTTATTCAAGCTAACAATTTACAAGGTCCCGCTATATGCGAAATTTGTTAAGAACGAATTTCTTCTGAAAATGAAAGTTGATATCAAATGCCAACTTCGTGGCCTATAAGTGTGCTGTCAGCTTATACACCTTTTATCAAACCACGCGCACAAATTGTGATGTTGACTATGAACCATTGCGGCAATAAAGTAGTATTGATTCATGATAATTACCACCAAAGCTAACCCAACGTTTGCTTTCGCAGTAACTTTATATGAATTTTCTAGGGCACACATTGAGATTTGATAACTGTTCAACTAATTCAATAAAGTACGTTAGCCATTAGATGACCCTAACATTAGTCAAAAGGCGTGTTTTCATTGGTAAGCGAAGCGTGCTCGATAAGATTGATTTTTGAATGTTTGTATTCATAGATATATCTTAAATGAGAATTTCTATGAATTAATTTTAAAGACCGGCTTCACTTGCATAGGTAACCCTGCAACTTGCTAATGGAAACATGTAATAATTATTACTTCTCTGTGTTCGATGTATACATGTTAATAAGTATGGTATTTAAAAGCCAGTTTTAGGAAAAGTATGAAAGTTTTCCATTGTTAATTGGAGAATAGTATTGTTATGTTTAACCAGTAAACTTTATTTGTCGGATGTCGGCTTACTTTTATTCTTAATCCACTTACCGATTATTAAGGTAGTCAAATGTTATTTTAATGTAACTGATTTTATCGTCAAAATGTTCTATCTGTGTTATTCACCTAAGTGTATTGTTTCTAGAAGGAATTTTATGATATTGTGGAGTAAAATAAATATGTATGTATAAACCGAGTTCTTTTTAACCGACTTCAAAAAAAAGGAGGAGGTTCTCCATTCGACTGCTTTTTTTTGTATGTATGTTACGTGATAACTCCGGTATTTGTGAACCGATTTTCATAATTATTTTTTTGTTGGAAAGAGTTTTTAATTTTGAAGAAAATCATCCACCTCTAAGGGTGACAGTTCACGCATGAAGATTCATTTTTATAAATAAGGCCTAAATTTTATTATTATAAGCAAATTTTAATGGTTGGTTTTGCTATTCTCCAATTCAAGGCGTTTTCCTCTCTCAATATACTTTGAGTAGTGAGAACCGATTTTTATTATCTCCTGCGTCAAGTCCCGTATAGTAGCGAACTAGGGGATGAATCCGGGTTTGCGCACTTTCCGGCAACCGATTTCAATAAAACTTGTTAATTATATGTAATTCTACGTACTTTTGAGGTCGGTTTTTTAGTACTCTGTACAGAGATTATTATTTAAACGTTCTCTCTAAATAGGAAAAGTATCACATTAACCGTGTTGCGTTGACATCGATGATCGAGAAAGGCGCGGTTTCTATACAAATCGATTTATCAAAATTAACGCGACCAGAACATGCAAGTCGTAAGAACGACTGGGCTTGTGGATTATTTGATTCAATAACTGGGCGAGGTTAGGGTTCAGCCTCGTTGATTTTTTATGGATTGCGGATATATATTTTAGCATGAAATACGAACCGATCGTTTTTTAATATCGAAGAATGAATCCAGCAGATCGTTGCAATTGTTTTCAATTTTTTGTGTAAGAAGTGATGACACTGCAGCAATCTTAATCATAATTCATTTATTTATCGCAATCATGTTGTACATTTAAAAAAAATCAGTACCTAACATGAACCGTAACGTTCAAATTAGTTAATTATTCTAAACAAAAAATCTAATATAAAATTCAATAAACAAATTGAAACTAAAATTAAACATTGAAATGAAATGAAATTATCACTTTACATTGTCGTATTGGTTATTAATTAAATTTTATGTATTCATATTTTTAGTTAATTTATTGTTGTCCTTTGTTTATTATTAAATATATCAAAGCATTTTATTTTAAAAATAATTTTATTTCTTTGTTAACATGTAAAGTTTACATATTTTAGTAACAGTAGAGCTCCTTGTGAAAGAGTTAGTCCAGGGAAGTACTGCCACCGTGCTCTGAGTGGCACTGTAACTGCGGACAGGCGTGTAGACTACCATCTGGCGCATGATTTGTTCGTCCCGTCACTTTATATTATAAAAAAAAATGCACATCTAAGCAGACGTGCCTGTCTACTTTTCCTTGTCGACCAAGAATAGTGCTACGGTAATGCACCCCGCCCCTCTGTAGTTGCATCATTTAATACATAAAACGCTTCCTTGGAGAACCCCCAGGAAGCGTGCATTGTGTTTTTGTACGGTCAATGTTTGCCAGAACTCGATTGTGTTCGATTGTGTACTGGAAGGAGGTGGAGATGAAAATGGTTTATAAACTTGCCAGGTGGAGATTTTTTAAGGCCCTGTAGATTATATCTATGCTTAACTAAAAAAGAAAAATTATTGATTCGAATTTTCCCTTTTTTTTTCCGTAATACGTAATACCATCAATCAGTTCCATTGATGGTGCTAAGGTATTTTTTTTTGCCATTGTCCCATTAATGGTGTTCCTCTTTTTGATTGTAGGCTGTGCCTTTTTTAAATATCAGTTTTGTATAAATACTACTACTACTATTTGTAAAAACTTTGACATTCAACGCCAACGGCACTGCCAAGGAAGATGAGGAAGGAGAGGACTTCTACTAAAGATGAGGCAGTATAGTATTTGGCTCACTCTCATTGCTCTCTAGCCTATACTTTTTGTAGAACGAAAGAAAAAAAAATGCCATTGACATTTGATCTGACAGATTAAACAAATAAAAAAAAATCAAATGTTTTATTTTCAATTTTGTCCACGAAGTTAGTGTTTGAAAATGTTGCAACGATTACTGCAAATTAGATTCGACGCCAAAATATCCAGTAGGCATACAAATATATTGTTTAGGTTGCCTTTTCAAAATCAGTCATGTCATTGTGGAGTCAGGTTATATTCGGGAAGACAAATAATTTGGTTACGAAATGCTGCGGAAGCACCAGCATTCAAAGGTGGGATATCCTGTGTGAAAGCGAGATCTTTCGCCAGTGAAGTAGATACACAGAAGAAAGATACATCTATCAATGCGTTAAACAATAAGGGTTCTTTGGAAGCAGATAAAAAAATCAATGTGAAATTAAAGACTTCAGATATAAAGCGATTATTTAATTTAGCTGCGCCTGAGAAATGGAATCTTACTGGTAAATACAGAATTGTACCTCCTTGATATAGGTAATTATTAATTACCGGGAATACTAATTGCGAACTAGATTCATATATTGTTCCCGTGATCAGAGAACAAAAAGTAAAGAGAACGGACACTCTCCGCCCCTCCCTAGCTTTAGATACCGCACCACGCCCCGCACATTGCCGGTCACATTGACTGAACGACAACAAGGCAGGTGCAGATAGCGCCTTGCTGTATGTAGTAGTAGTAGGTAAATAATTTTCGACCGTTTTATGGAGTGTCCGGGGTGTGCCGTGATGGTAACTTGGTCACATTTCACATGTGTGATCCTCATGGTAGTCCCATGTTGCCAAATTTTATCATAGTGTTCCCTAAGCAAAATTGCTGCATAGCATAAAGAAATAAAATGAAAATTAAGTTTGCTCCCAATCTTGCCAAAATTTCTAATTGTGAATTCAATTCACATTGTCAATTTACAATGTTCTCACAGGGGTTAATGTTTACTATTTCCCAATGTGATGATAACCATCATGGTTTAAATGTGATATTAAAATCACCTAATTTATGTTTGTATACTTCCAGGTGCTATACTTTTCTTAGTAATATCATCTAGTGTTACTATGGCAGTGCCATTTTCACTAGGCAAGGTATTAGATATTATATACAGTAGTACAAATGATCTTGGCTCTGCTCGTGAGAAGCTGGACTCTCTCTGCTTCATATTGTGTGGAGTCTTTCTAATTGGAGGGTTGTGCAACTTTGGCAGAGTGTACCTAATGTCTATATCTGGTACGTTGTTCATGAATATCTTTAGTATAATAATTTTTCAGGTGGACCTCCTTCTTATAGGTATAAGGAATATCATTATAATGCCCAGCTTTCATAAGATTGGGATAAAAATGTGATTAATTGTAATATTAACAGTCAGCCATGACCATGCGCTATGTAAAGGCCCTGAATATTGGTTTGTTTAGAAAAACAAAAATACATGATTTAGATCGAAAAACAATACTTTATTTTCAATAAAAATAATGCAATAAAATAGACAGTATAATCATCAGCCGGTTGTGACCATGGGATCTATAAAGAGCCCAAAACTTGGGTTTGTTTGTACAAAATATATAAATTATATGCATTAATATTAATAAATTATAATTTCCAAGGTAATATAATTTTATTTCTTTAGTACAGTCAACAGAACATCAAACTATACACTGGAACAAGATATGTAAATGTGTAGCTTGATGTGCTGCTGTCCGTACCATATGCCATTATGGAAATTGTGTTATTGTTATTAATTTAATTTATCAATTAATGACTGACTTGCTATTTACATGTGCGTAGTCATTGTGTTGTGAAGTTAATAATAATTATTTGACTTTTAATTCGGGACTTAATCACATATAAAACATATTATATTTACCTCGATGTTTGGGACATATTGCAACGTCCATGGTCTCGAAAGGACTGAAGAGGCGGGTGTCAGCATCTTCTAGCCGTGCTACTAACTACCCGCACTTGATCTTCATTATTTATTTGTGCATTAGGGTTTTCGCTAGACCGATACACAACACTCACCTAGCCCACCCGCTCACCCGCTCTCTCTGTTAAGTATATAACATGTTTACAAGATCTGGTGTGGTGATGTACTTACAGTTTCCTAATGGTATTAATTTCCTTTTTTTATTATACATGGAGTGTTTTACCATACCTTTTCGTGCCACCACACAGCAATGTGAGCATTACTGTGCTCTGGATTTCAAGTGTGAAAATACTGGTGAAATTACAGGCACATGGGACTTGTCTTATATCTTAGGGTAATGGGTGCAGTGATACTGCAATTGTGACTCTGCACATGACTTATTTGATATCATTTAAAAAATGAGATGGCATTAATGCACATAATTATCAATATATATATATTGTGTACTGTGAAAAAGTTGTTATAAGAGCTATAGAAAAAAATATACATTATTATTTATCAAAATTAAAAGAATAGCCCCGCCGTCACTAAGTGGCCTTTATCCTTTTTCGACTCACATATTTTTCGTTGATATTAGCTAAATCTCAATACGCCGTGATAGCCTAATGCTTGGACCAACCGCCTCTCAATCAGTGTGTCGTGGTTTCGAATCTCGGCTTGCACGTCTGACTTTTTCGAAATTTATGTGCCAAATTTAATTTCAAATCTACCATGAGCTTAGATATGCTAACTATTATCTAAATTTGTTTTCAGGTCAACGCATGACCCAAACTCTCCGCAAGCAAGTGTTTGGGGCAATCATGCGTCAAGAGCCAGCTTGGTTTGGTAAGACGTCGACTGGCGAATTGGTGAACAGACTGTCGGCTGATACGCAACTGGTGGGCAGAAACCTCAGTCAGAATGTCAGTGATGGATTACGGTCATTTTTCATGGTCGGCGCTGGTACTGGCATGATGGTAACTAATTCATTTTTATTTTTATAACTGATGTGTAACATGTGTAATACTACCGCGTAATCACGTAAAATACTTCCATAATTATTTTAAAATTTTCGTATATAAAATAAAATTTTATTGCAAATGTAGGTAACTGGAACACTTAAAAAAAAGACTGACCCGCGGCACCCATTACACCATCACGTGCCGGTAATCGAGAGACCAAAGAGTCACCATAGCTTTATTAAAGAAGTATGCCCTCTGGATGGGGAAACTAACCAAGCCCGAATATAATAGTCTCTGTAAAGAGAGTACTCCACGGCGTCACTCATCTCGCTGTCTGAGCACCTCCCTCATGGGCATGATCTACCTTGGCAAACTTGGAAGTCTCTAAATAGGCTGCGGATCCAGGTCGGCCGAAGCAAGGAGTACATGCACGGGTAGGGTTATAGTTTAGAGAGCGCGTGTCTGTGTGGTATCTCTCCCCAGACATTGGCACATATTTTATCCTGCACTGCCCTACACCAGCACACGCGAGGACCTGTACAACGCCACTAATAATGCTGTCTCCGTCGCTAAGTACTGGTCCTCACAAATATAAACGTCAGAGTCAACACGCCAAGAAGTATTTAAAAAAATTAAGAACAAATTCCACTTTTATGTACAGTCTATGTACATCCCATTTGAAATGGCGCTACAGTGGCCAATATAATTGCAGTCTATTCTGTGGGCGATTATGTAGGTACAATATACTGTTCGAGCTGTCACGCACTTTGTACACACTATCTCTAGTCGCATCTTTTACGCGTTGTCGCGTAAAAATAATCCATATGTGCTTCAACGAACATTTCTGACGTTTAACTAAACGCATTATTGTGTTGGATCCCAAGAGTTTATAGATTAAACTAAGTATATCGCACGTTTGTTTACAGATCTACATGTCACCATCATTAGCAATGATTGGACTATGCATAGTGCCTCCCGTATCAATTTTAGCCGTGTTCTACGGTCGCTTTGTGAGGGGTATCACGCGACAATTGCAAGATTCCTTGGCAGAAACAAGTGCGGTTGGTATTCCCCTTTGCCATACATGGGACCATCTAGAACTTACTATTACGCATTTAGGACAGAAAGCTTATCGAAATAAGTTTGCTTAGAGGTTCTATGTTGTTTTATGTGACATGTGAACGTCTGTACGCCAGAGGCGGTTCTCACACGGTGGCCCATCTCGCATTGACATTGCGAAACTTTGTATATAGAATTGGTTTATATTTGTCTTTTACATCAAGACGCTACGATGCGACAGCTGTATGCGATACTTTTAAGTCATCGCGAAGCTAAAGTCACTGAAACCTGCGTCACCATCCTTGTGAAAACCGCCTTAGTAGAGGAAAGGCAAGTATTAAATTTCTAATGCTTTCAAAATGAACTTTTGTATAACTGCTTCCGTGGCCGAACGGTTACTTAGCTGGTGCGCCACGCAAAGGTCCCGGGTTCGAATCCCGGGCCTGGAGAAATATTTGTATGGCCTACATTTATATATGAGTTGTGTGTAGTTGGTGGTTGTCTATTTGTGTGTCCATGGCACCCGCGACACAGGGTTTCCCTAGTGCGGGGATATGAGTGTGTGCTTTATTTATTGTTGTAAAAGTCGATACCTTTTGCCGAGCTTGTGCTTTAATGACATCTTTTACATACAGCTAGCGGAAGAGAAGATATCAAATATAAAGACTGTTAAAGCGTTCAGTAAAGAAGCGGCAGAGGAGCGATCGTATGGTCAGAAAATCGAAAACGTTCTTAGGTTGGCGTATAAAGAATCTTTAGCGGTCGGAAGTTTCTATGGCTTGGTGAGTTGAAAATATATTTTGTTATAATAATAATACAATGTTATTTGTTTACATAAACACTTATTTAGTGTTATAATAGTAACTATAATCTTAATTATGTATGTAAAATATACATGTACACAAACAACAGATATGACAAAACAAAATACCACACTTATTTTCGCGCATGTGGATCATTTATCATAGACCCTGTTGTCAGATTAGGTGATTTTTCGCCATTTAGGCTACTTTGAGGGGTCGCGCGGCGACTAAAAAAGTGAACGGCGACTCGGCGATATTTAGGCTATGTTTGAAATAGGAAGAGGCGATTTTAGGCTAGTTAATAAAATGTCTGGGGAATTACAAATTTTATTGGAGATTTTATGGGGAATGGAATTGTAAAATAACTCATTTGGAGAAATAAGAGAGTTCATATTCCCCAATGTCCGGCAGCAACCAGAATTGTAGAATTGTTTTTCTTGATTTTTAGGGATTTTATGGCTTGAGCGAATATCGGCTACTCAACACACATAAATTGGCGAATTAATTTCGCAAAAGTCTGGCAACACTGATCATAGAACAGTCATACACGTCCAGACACTCGAACCCGCTCGAGAATTCCTTGACGTACTGTAGGACCGCAGCAGCCTCACCAGCATCCTGAATGCAATGTTGTATAATGGGTTGTATAACCAGAAATAGAGACGAAATGTCATTTAATTTGTTTGAAAACTATTCTGCCATATCATTACTGTGGCAACTGCGCTCCGATTGGCTAGCCCGAGTTCGAAACAATTGACGGGTGTCGTCAACTGTTTCACTTCAAATCGACCAGTTAACTTGAGCTTTGCTATAATGGACGAAAATTGCAAAATTACACATTTAATATTTAATTACCGATGACATGTGTTTCCGTTTATTTTGTAATTAGATGTTTTGCTGTTTTTCCCACACCACCGAATGGAACAGCACGGCATTGTTAGAGATATTATCTTCATTACAATAAATACAGAATGTTTTTAGGAATATACGGAGACGTACACACAGGTCAGTAGTTGGCCTGTCTATATTTCAGTGCAAACGAGAGTTGATATTTATAAGAGCTGTATCGCTAATGTGTTACCAGGACTATATAGCCCTTATTTCATCTCTATTTCTGGTTATATACTCGATGTGGGTTGTTTATTATTTGGTAAAAGGTAGTCTTATCACTGCGTCCATAAATTATATGTATTTTATATGAAGATGCGTGCAAATGGAATCCAACTTTTTTTTTTTAATACTGAGCCCCGCACTAAAGTACCGGCACGCTATGATGGCCGTTTTAACGTTTCTCCGATCATCAAGTTTCGTATTAATTCATAACTACGTTGAAGGACCTAATTGCTGTACATTGTTGTCAATAGTGACGTGCAGTAAAATTTATGTTTATTATATTTATTAATGTATAATTTTACAACATAACTCCGCATTTGTTTTTCGAAATTCGAAATTTAAAAAAATTAAACCTAATGCGATCATCACTTATAGGATCCATGGCCAGCACAATTTATACCTCCGGCAAACTCGCGTCAAAGCTCAACGCAAAACAAAGCAGTTTCGAATTGACGATATATTGCTTAATATATCGTCAATTCGAAACTGCTTTGTTTTGCGTTTTTTACATTTTTATCATAGTTTTATTAAAACTTTTTAATCTAAAACTTATACAAACATTTTATTATATTTTTTACGATAATGAATTGAATTTTGATGTCACTATTGTTATCTGTCAAAACAGCTATCATAGCGTGCCGGTACTGTAGGGAAACCCTATGTCGCGGGTGCCATGGACACACACATAGACAACCACAAAAACTCTAAGAGATCAACGAAGGTTTTTTTTTTTGTTGTCTAGATCTCAATATAATTTTAGTTAAATTTGCCTTGATTAAATAAACTTTGACCCGATGTATGTCAACAGTTAAGATTGACATGAGAATTATGACAAATGATCCTTATCTATTTCTCAACATACAATCACTCATACGTGCATATCTATCGTTTGTCGTATGACAGTTAGAATACTTTTTTAATGGTGTCAAAAGTGATTGGATTAGTTTAAGACCTCGCATTCGAGCCAATTATTTTATCAATTGACACATAAGATTACGCGGCAAAGTTTTGAATTTACGTTACTACAAATAGATGATGAAGTAAGTATTTTAAGATAGTGTTAAAGGTTGGAAACCTATAAATTAACACAATTATTATATATGGTGCCATTCAAACTAATACTATAAGTGCGAAAGTATGTCTGTCTGTTACATTTTCACGCATAAACCACTGAACCAATTTTGTTGAATTTTGGTATATAGATAGATGAGACCTAGGAGAAGGACACGCGCTATTTTTTGTCACAAAAATAAATTAAAGGGGATGAAAGTTGGAATACCAATAAAACTATGAAAATTAGTATAGTATTTGAAGTACTTAGTCGCGGGCACCAACTAGTATTCTAACTTTGTGAATATTTTATTTGCGATAGCAAAAAAACGTAAAAATG